TCTCCTCCGAGCGCAGCCACCCACCCGCCCTGGGTACCGTCAGGAGCTCTGCCTCCGTCTCACCCCGTCCCGCTCTCACCTGCACACACCACGCCGGCGTCCTCGCCGTGGTGGCAGTTGTGGACACCCCACATCTTGGCTCGACAGTTGGAGATGTCTGTTTCGTGGCCCCTGCAGTTCACATTGTCTAGCCAGATGGGACCTGCTCCCCAGCCGAACCGAGCCGAGCCAGGGGCCGAGAGGGCTCCCCCGCAGCCCAGCTGCCGGCAGACCACCGCCGCGTCGCTCAGGTCCCAGTTGTCGTCACAGACCGTCCCCCACTCGTTGTTATAAAACACCTCCACCCTTCCGGAGCACTCGCTCAAACCACCCACGAGGCGAAGCCTGGGGATGCTGTCAAGTCCCGAGCCTGAAAAATACCCCAAAAAAATTACATTACGAGGGACATGCTTGTGCGTCTTCACACATCTCTGCGGCGGTTCTGGGTGACGTTGCTGCACCGAACTTGTACGCCCCTTGGTTTTTTTTCCAGGGACTTGCAGCAAAGTGAGCACAGGGGAGTTTTGCAGCTGCATAAAATCCCTTCCACCAGTTGCACCCTGAGGGTGGCTGCACCCTGGTTCAGAGGTGGGGGACAAGGAGAAAAGCACACGTCTCCACCTCGGACACTGCGCTGGGAAGAAGGGATGCATGAGGGTCCTTGCCAGTGTTTCTCTGTGCTTTCCTTCCCCCTTGCTTGGAAGCTTCATCCCCTAGGTTCACCTGCTGCTACCCCCTTCTTGCCCTAGAGGAAATGGCCAAGGATCTTCTTCTGCTGGTCGCTGTCCTGACTGCTTCTCCCTGCCTTGTCCCTGGAGGTTGACCTTCTCAGACCAAGGCTGGACGGGTAGGAGCTGCCTCAAAAGTGGGGTATGCATGAGAGCAGCTGGTTCCAGGGTGTCTTTCTGCATTTATCTGCACATCCTGGGATGTTACGGTGCCGGCAGTGCAATCTGCTGCTGTGGAGCTGGGGCAGGGCGCGGTCGCATCTCCTGCCACCCAAACAGCACCCACGCACCCTCCAGCTGCTGCTCCCAATGGGTGCTGGTGCTTCACCCCATGGAAGCATCTCGGACGTCTCCAGTGGTACCAGACACTGAGCCATGTCTTCAGCCATGTCTTAATCCATGCTGCCTTTTTCCCCCCGTATTATATTTTTCCACGTCTCTGAACACTTATTTTAACTCAGTTTCTACTGATTTGGGCAATTTGTTGGCCAACTTGTTGCCAAACTGTTCCCAACCTTGCAGAAGGATGGGGTTTGGTCTGTCTTACAGAGGAATCACGTGTCGAGCGTTACCTGAGCACACAACGCCGGCGTCTTCCACGTGGTTACACGCGTGGTGTCCCCAAGGCTTGACCGGGCATTCGGCGAGGGTGGCTTCTGTCCCCAGGCAGCTCACGCCATCCAGCCAGATGGGGCCAGATCCTTGCCCAAAAACCGACGAACTTGGGGCTGACACGGCCACGCCGCAACCCAGCTGCCGGCACACCACCGCCGCGTCCTTCAGGTCCCAGCCGTCGTCGCAGATGGTCCCCCACTGCTGGCTGTGGAAAACTTCCACCCTCCCGGCGCAGCGGTGCAAACCGTTCACCAGCCGCAGGGCTTCCGAGTTCCTCAGGTCCAAGTCTGAAAATAAAATTAGAGGATGATAAATCCTGACCGGAAACACCACGTGTCCAGTGGCTGGCAGCACGGTGGACCTCCTCTTGAAAAGGGTCTTGCAAGGTCTCCACCAGCAGACCCTGGCCATGATGCATGGACACCTTTTGGGACGATCCTGCTAGGACCGTGCCCGGTGGATTGTGACCTTGGCCAAATTCCTGAGGAGCTCCCGTGATGGAGGACAAGCAGGCGAGGAGGCACTGAGTGTGTTGTGCACCGGAGCAAGGAATGTCTTGGTGAAGAGAAGGGACTCCCAGAGGAGCATCAAAAAAAAAAAAAAACCAAACCCAAAAACCACCCAGGAGAGCTGCAACCCTGGTGTGCCAGGGCTCCTGGAGTGTGATGGAAAGTCTGGTTTTAAAGGCTTGGGATTTCCGGGAATGCCAGGCTTGGGATTTCCAAGTATTTTGCTTGAGGGAAGCTAAGGACGGGTCGACCTCAAAATGGAAAACACCGTGTGCTCCCTGGTGGGACCGCAGGACCCCGGGGTGGTTGAGGTGGGACAAGGAGGAGCTTGGTCAGACTGCACAGCCTTCCCCAGGGGAGGACGGATCCCTGACTCACCACCACTGACCTGTGGACGCGGAGCACATGACGCCTGCGGGACCCCTCGACTTGCAACTCTCGGCGCCCCAGAACTTGACTTTGCATTCGAAGAGAGCTCCTTCCATCCCGCTGCACTCCACGGCGTCCACCCAGATGAACCCATCTCCTGTCCCAAACTGGGCAGACCCCGCGGCCGAGTGAGCCGCTCCGCAGCCCAGCTGCCGACACACCACCTGGGCTTCGGCCAGGTCCCAGCCGTCGGTGCAGATGCCCCCCCAGCGCTGATCGTGAAACACTTCGACTCGGCCAGAGCACGAGTCTGAGCCGTTCACCAGGCGGAGATTTCCGAGGTCAGAAATGCCAGATCCTACAACATCAGAGAGTACACCTATCATGAAATCATGGAATGGGTTGGGTTGGAAGGAACCTTCAAGATCATCCATGGGCAGGGCCACCTCCCACTAGCCCAGGTTGCCCAAAGCCTCATCCAGCCTGGCCTTGAACCCCTCCAGGGATGGGGCATCCACAGCTTCTCTGGAAAACCCCTTCCAGTGTCTCACCACCCTCGTAGTGAAAAATCTCTTCCCAATATCTCATCTCAGTCTCCCCTCTTTCAACCTAAAACCGTGGACCCTCATCCTATCCCTCCACCCCTTGATCAAGAGGGTTTCCCCATCTCTCCTGTTGCCCCCTTGAAGTACTAGAAGGTCTCTCCGGAGCCTTCTCACACATTAAGGAGATACCTTCTGCCCCGTGAAGAATCCGTCTGCCAGCAATGAGTTTACACCAGAGGATGAGCCGCCATGGGGGCGGTCAAGGATGCTCTTGCAACAACACCTTGTGGGTCAAGGATGCTCTTGTGATGACAGAGGCATCAGACCTTTGAGGTGTGATGGGAGCTGACCCCAGTGGCGCCCAAGGCGTGATCAGCATGGGCTCGACCAGACTTCAGTCAACGGACCCTATATAGTTTGTCCTCCTCAAGCAGACACAGCGGGCACGGTCCGGTCGCCAAGACGTAGACATCCTTGTGTCATTTGGGATCCCTGGGCTACCTTACCTGCCCTCCAGCTGCTGAAGGGCAGAGGTGTTCCTGGAGGATCTCAGCCCAACGAGGGTGAGATGCCACCTTCCCATGCTGGGGCGAATGAATTCAACTCTGGTCTCGGTCAGGGACACCCGGACGTTAAGCAAAGTTCATCCTGAAGCAACTTGGTTGCAACCCAGTGGCCCCAGTTTCCTATCAGCTGCTAAAACAGGTGGTGGGGTTCCTCTGGAAGCAAGGAGAGGGGTGGGAAATGGACCCATCATGCAGCTCCGAGCATCACAGGGTACATCGACCGTGGATAAACTGGAGGTGTCAGAGAGTCCTCCCTGACTGTGATGGGAGAAGACCCCTTCGTGCCGCCGTCTGCCCTGCTCTGAAGAAGTCGGTGGCTGTGTTGTAATTTTCCTGATGGGAACAACCTCTGGCCTGTGCTAACTGCCAGGGTTTGTGATAAATAACATCAATCAAAACCCTGCTGGAGACTGTGGTTCAGCCATAGCGGCGCAAATGGGCAAGGCTTTGGTTTTTCTGGGACTTTAACACCTACAGGTGCTGCCCTCTCCCACCAGGATGGACCACGAGGGGCTGATTTCGAAGCCTGGAGTCTCCGGGATGGCTCCAAGCTGTTCCTGCGTCGCGGGACCTCGCACCCACAGGGGAAAGCGGAGTCAAACCCCAGCGCAGGAGGAACCTGTGGTGTTCCCGGGGGTTACCTGAGCACACCACGCCGGCGTCTTCTCCGTGCTCGCATCCGTGGACTCCCCAACCCTTGGTTCTGCATTCAGAGAGGGCAGCCTCCGTCCCCGTGCAGCGCACGTCGTCCAGCCAGATGGGTCCCTCTCCCTGCCCGAAGTGAGCCCGTCGCGGTGCCGATACCACTGCCCCGCACTCCAGTTGCTGGCACACCACTTTGGCATCCGCAAAATCCCAGCTGTCGTCGCACACCGTCCCCCATTTCTCATTGTGAAACACCTCCACCCTCCCGGCGCAGCGACCTGGGCCATCCACCAACCGGATCGGAGCAAAGCTGGAGACGGCCGAGGCTGCAGACAGGCAAGGCAAAGCATCCAACCCCTCTGTGGGAAGAGGAAGGACTCCGCATTTCGGCGCATAGCTGGCGTGGTCACATCGCCTCTGGACCCCCAGCATCTCATCCCCCACCCCGTGGAGACACTTCTCAAAGGGTTTGGGGGTCCTCAACCCAGCAGCACGTGGGGTGAAGCTGGAGTCTTGCTCCCAAATGGGATCAGGGGAAATTATCGGTGCGTCCTGACCCGCTGCTGGTGCCGGAGCGACACCCACCTGAGCACACCACGCTGGCGCGCTTTCCGTGGCTGCAGCTGCTCTCTCCCCACGGGCTTGCTCGGCATTTCGTGAGGGTCGTCTCTGTCCCTTGGCAGTTCACGTTGTCCAGCCAGACTCGGAGGGTTCCGACGCCAAAGTCCAACCCATCCGATACCGCCAGTGCCATCCCGCAGCCCAGCTGCTGGCACACGACCTTGGCATCCTGCTCGTCCCAGCCGCGGTCGCAGACGGTTCCCCACTTCTCCTCATGAAGCACCTCGACCCTGCCGGCACAGCGGTGCGAGCCGTTGGCCAGCCGGATGGGAGCCGGCTCGGGGATGATGGAATCTGCAAACATCCGAGAGATTTATCGATGCTTTCAGACGGCGGAAAGTTTCCCTCCACGCTTATCATACTGCACTTAAGCTCCCGGCCCCTCTTCAAGCTGTCAAAAAGCAGAGGAGGGGAGAACAGGGGGGCTCCCCACCACCACCACCAGAAACTTCCCCCCCAGAGCATCTCCCTGCAGAGTGTGGTCTGCACTGGTCCCGCATCCTGGACCCCAGCCTCGCTCCCTGCAGGAATTTCTTGCTGCGTGGGAGCTGCGAGCTCACTGCGTGGGTCCCTTTCCACGAGCTTCCACAAGTGGGTCCTGTTTTTGGAGCTCTAGAGGAGTGGGAAATAGGGATCCCTGTAGGAATGCCTGCAACTGCCCCAAATAAACACCTTGGGGTGGGAAGAGCAACCCTCTGATGGGACCGTTGGCTGCTGGGAGGGTCTGGGAAGACCCCACTGGGTGCTGATGCTAACCCCCAGTTTTAACTGGGGGCTCAGCCCTGCCGTCATGGCACCCACCCGGCCACCCACCGCCTCGCAATACCGAAGGAGCATCGGTCACCTGAGCAAACCACGCCGGCGTCTTCCCCGTGGTAGCAATTATTGACGCCCCACGGCCGGGCGCGGCAGTCGGCCAGCGAAATCTCCGTCCCAGTGCAATTCGTCTCGTCTAACCAGATGACGCCGTCCCCACGCCCGAACTGACCCCCGCCGGGGGCTGACAGCGCTCGCCCGCAGTCCAG